GTAATGGACAGAGCAGAGGAGTTGACAGAGACGTTTTGAAGACTTTAAATTCTGAATGATCATTTTGTATTTTTGGCACATGAGGCCAAATGGAGTAGTAAGTAAGCTTTGACTAATGTTCACAACGTGTGTTGTATCCCTCATACTTTATGAAAACAATTTAGCGCGATCATTACTAATGTTCACAATAGGGCAGCTACAAGGCAAGATCAAAGTTAAGATAAGATTCTATTTTAATGCTATAACCTAGCAACCACAGGGATTAAAAAAAGAAACATGAAATTTTAGATGCAAGTGTAGAAAGCATTGAATTGGACAAAGGAAAAATATTGATATACTGAATACTGATATCGCCCATCTCATAAAAAAAAAAGTTTAAGTAATTAGATATATTATTACTTTCATTCAAATTGTAGAAAGAATGTTAGAGATATTTGCAACCTTCCAATTAGTCTGTCAACTAAACCAAAACAAAAGTCAATCAAAAATGGCATTTCTATTCAGATTGGATTCTGAAATAAACACTTAACGTATCTCACTATTACAAATTAGCAAAACTGTCCTTCTTTAAGCAGTCAGTGTGTGTTGGTGTAGCTTTTGGCTCTTTTTTGGACCCTTTTATTTGTGCATGTGTGTGAAAACTTAAACAGTCATTCAAATAAGTGCATTGCAGGCTGTGTGTTCATGTACTGCCAGAACAGGTATCCAAAACATAAACACTCCTGCAACTGAGGTGAAATCCCATTATACCTCTAACAGTAATAACTTCTACAACTAGAGTGACAATTTCCACATAGTTTCATCAGCAATGCTCTACTTGTCTCCAGTTGTACTTTTTGCCTTCAAATTTATCCATTTATTTTGTTAGCTATCATGTATTCCAAACAAAATCTAATCTGGGCCATTGCAGTCCTGACCGATGAAGTTAAAGTTTACAGTAGCACCCTGGTTATGTTGTGTGTCTGACTTCATCTGTGAGACTTTTCTCATCACCAGCTTATTGACTGCTGTGCTTATTTACCCTCCACAGTAGCGTGTGAGCTAAGAGGATCATAACACAGAGGATTGTAGCATCTTCGACAACTGTTTGATGCTGCTTGCTGTGCCCGCAAATAAAAAGGATTAAAAGAAGGACACATTTAAGAGTCAAACAAGAGGAAGGAGTGAAAAGGCAGTGATTGTGGCTGCACTTTGAAAGATTAAACACTGTAATGAATAGTGAAAATGACACATGTTGTGGCGCTGTTTGATTTCTTTTCAGCCATCTCCCTTATTTGTTGTCTGAGAATCACAATGCATTTATGATTGTTGAATCACAGACAGCAAAGGCTGAAAGGTTCTTTTTGAAAGCAGGAAACGGTTTTCATGCAAAAATAATTACAGAGGAACTAGAATTGATTGGCAACACAACACAAGTCCTCAGCAGACATGGAGTGGTCAATTTGTTTTTCTGGGAAAGAAGATTTTGTCTTTATTGTAACTCTCACAAAACTGTTTTGATTTAAATGATTTGATAATCATCGTTGTAATTGAATCAATTTTTTTTAACTCTTCCTCTGTTCCAAAAGTATTGAGGGACAACAGAAAAACAGTTTTATGTTACAATCAATATTCTTCTCATTGGTGTTTTATCACCACTCACCATTTTAAGAGCCTTCTATTTAGTCAGACAGGATATTACAGCTCTCCAGACTGATGATTTCTGGCCTTGAGATTGTTTGCTAATGGTCTGAGTTTTGGCTCAGAAAACTTGACTGATCATTATGTTACACCTCACCCCAATGAGCCCAGCTATTTTTATCTGGTAAAAAACAACCATCTTTTACTGAGGAGTGCTTCTGCAGGCATGAATGAATGAGAATAAATAAGTATGGCTTCAGCTGGATTAGAAAGGCACTATTTAGACTGGTCCATTTACTGTTTTAAATTTTGGAATTCATTCCAAGGTTTTCACCCAGGCACCAGAAACCTCCTCTCTGATAACTGCTCCCTCCCCCTCTGTCTTTAATTTTTTAAAGGAGCACAACTTCTGGATTGCCATGGTGTAACAGTTTAGGACACATTCAGTTTGATGAAGGTAGCTTTTTCGCAGGAAACTGACTGTGTTTTCAGTCACTGACTTGACCTCTGATTTACCTGTCAAATGAACATTGTCAATACTCACCTGATCCAGGACAGAAAAGAATATAAATTACATAATATATTCAAGGTACCCGTGAAAAAGCATGGATTCTTGTTTAAAAGCAAACAGCGGCTATCAGGTCAGCAAAGAGAGCTAGCTCAAATATTATAACTAAGGAAGTGGAGTGGGCAAATAAATGAGATTAGACAGCACAGGGCATCTGCAGGGCACACCCACACGCTGGTGCCCCAGAGCGATGCTCACACATCCCAAGGGGAACACGATTCTCTTACTCTGGTTTTGTCTCCTTTTTCTTTTCTTTCCTTTCATTTAACTTAATCCGCCTTTTTTCTGTTCTTTCACTAAGGTTTTCCTGCCCTCCACCAGTCAACAAAAGAAATAAAAACGTTAGTTTCATAAATTCACTCAAACGATAGACACTATAGAGTTCCATTATTGTGAGTCCTAACATTTATAGTTGGTGCCAGATCAAGTGCGCGAATGTCTTTAAAGTATGAGTAATCTCATCAATGCGGTGACATTCAAGTGTACTGTGAGTGAGATGTACCAGACCCTATTAAAATTTCCCAGTCTGTCCTTGGCAATGCCCCGATGAGCAGAGATTTTCAAGGACCAATAAATAAAAATACCAGATGCTCATATTGGGCTGCAAAAGGGCACAAAGCATAGCTAACATGACTAGATGAATATAATAGAAAACAAGAACTTCGGTTTAATTTAGTTTGTTTTTTCTTTCCAAATTCTATAGTGAGCAGAAAAAGGTAATCTAGCATGGATTTTTCATATTGATTTTGGTCAATACAATCAAGATGACTAGATGTGCTCGGCTACGTCCCCAGATTAATAATGAATTTAAATTTATACATTGGAAGCTCTATATTTTTGTAATCAAGAGATCCACACCAATACATAACATGGGTAATCTTTGAAATTGTAAAAATACAATTTTGGGATTTTGCAGTTTTGATTAAGGGCTGAGGCAAAATCACAAGGATTAGGAGAAAGATTTGTAGAGAATTACTACCGGTACGAGCAGTTGCCTGAAAGTCAAAGTGGAGTAAAAACAATGGAGGGAGGGATAATGTCACAGACAAACTAGGAGATACATGAATATTAGTCCTGACAGGTATGAGGGGAAATGCCTGTGTGCCTGTTAGTTTTCATCCTTTAAAATGTACAGTTCCATTGCATTCACACAGGATTTAGTACCTGGCATTTGAAAAATGGTGAAATTGAGTTTTAGATTTACTGAAAAGAAGTAACAATGTGATTAAACAAAAAGTAGGACAATAGTAAGTAGGGAAAAAACACTGTCAGTCAACAACTAGACTGAAAAATGTTTTAAAAATACAGTCCATTTTTCACTTACTATATCCCATCTTTATCTGTACATTTGTCCCACCTGATATTGTGAGGCAATATTGTTGTAAAGCTGAGAAAATGTGCTGCGGGGAGATATTAAAAGAGAAAACACTGTGGAATGGGGTTATTTCAGGGTCTTCTGTGATGACACACGATGATGAATTGTTGCTTGTTTCTGACGCAAATCTTGTGCTCAAGAAAACATCCTTTTCAAAGTCGTAGATTTTTTGTATTCTTTTCAGTTCACTGTGAAATGGTAAGTGCTTGGTTGCCCTCATCATTCTGACAAAAGACGTGCAGGTTAACAGGTCGTGTTTTTCTAGCACGGCACTTCTAAACAGTCACTCCCGATGCGATCTGCCTCTCAACAGAGCACAGTTCTGCAGTTTACTTTTCCACAACCGAACCACTGACATTGACTGTATAGCGTTGTGGGTATTTATTCTTCAATTTCTGGCTTGCACATATTAACGTTACTCGTTTAGAGAGGGAGAGAAAATACAATAATTCTTGATTGTTGATTTATTACGTTTCTGTCAGATCTACTAATGACTGCCTGTCTTTCTCAGCCCATGGCTGCTTTGGGAAAAATGTCCTTCAGACACAAGTTAATTTGATCTAAGCTCTGACTCAATACAAAGTGATCAGTCTCAATGTTAAGTCTGCTGACAGGGGTGGTGAAAAATATTGATTGTGTCATTATGAAAAAATGGTCTCCTTGCATGTTGGCACTCAGGGTGAGTTGGCCTTGACAGATCCAAACCACCCGAACACTGTACCATCCTCTCAACAAGGCAATGTACCCTCCTTCATCATAAAAATGTCTCATGGAACAACATTACCCAAAAATTGCTTTGCCCCTCCAAAGTATGTCCTCAATTGAAAAGGGTGAATCTTATATTACAATTGGAAGTAGATCTGAGGCATTGATCATGTGATGAGGAACTGTGGAATTGTTCAGAAATATTCGAATTGGATGTTTGTAGTCTTGTGTCCAATCTTGAAGCGTAGTTGCTGTTCAGGTATGATACATCTTGTTGTCCTAAACATAGAGAACTACTATTTCTAGTACTTGCTGCTGGCTGTGACACATCAACCTGTTCCAGTTCTAAATGTACATGTACAGCTGGAAGTTTCTCGACTGGGCACAATTTGCAGTAGTGAAAACAAGCGTTATCTATGAGATAATAGCAGAAGCCTGGATTTAAATTCCTCATATTGTGTCCCTAAATTAATCTGTTGATGTTTTACTTTTTTATTTAATCTAATTAAACATTGGAGGGATTCAATGATTATTTCTACCATATTTTAGAAAGAAGATCAGTCCATTATTGGGGTCTAAGAGATCAACCCACATCTGCTTCTGATCAGAGATTATAACAGGATTACAGATTACCCTATTGCAGTAATCCTGTTTTTTTGTTTGTTTGTTTTCTGTTTGCAAACATTTTGTTGAATATAAGAACATTAAAATGGTGCTTTCTTTCTTGCCTTTCTTGCAGGGCCCACTCTTGGCCTACGTCACTCACAGCTAATGGATGTCATTACCCAGTATGCCTACAATGACAGCTTCTATGATAATGGAACATGGGGCTTCAACGAAACAAAACCGGAGCAGAGGCACCCTTACAACTACTATGCCATGCTTCTTACGCTGCTCATCTTTGTCATCGTCTTTGGCAATGTGCTGGTGTGTATAGCTGTGTCCAGAGAAAAGGCTCTACAAACAACCACAAACTACTTGATTGTGAGCCTGGCTGTCGCGGACCTTCTGGTGGCCACGCTGGTTATGCCATGGGTCGTTTATTTAGAGGTAAGATAGTTAAAACAAAGATATACACACAAACCCCATTCACTCGCGTGTCTTTGTGCATGTGAGGAGTCATAAATAACCTTGCATATCTTGTGCAGCTACCATGCTCTCAATATATCTATTTCCCCGCATAAGCTCGGCTGTAGAATACAAAAGATAAAATGATGACTGATTAACATAAGATCTGCAGACGAGAAGTAAAATAATAATACCATAACACCTATTTTTATCTTCAGTGTCTTAAATGTGTATATTTTTTACATGACATGAGACATAAAAATACCATAAAAACAACTCTCCATTTTACATGAAAAGCTTAAAACATAGCAAAGCTATTTGGCCATTTGAAATGCATTTAAAGGGTCTGTGTCTGGAGGTCACTTGCTGTGGTTGATAGATTTTCAGTGTATCCACTATGTGGCAAAGCCAAAATGTCAGGAAGATCTGTGTTATCCGTGATCAAACATTTATTAATGGTTCCTTATAATTCTTGCATTGATACATCAGATTTGTCGTTTGTTCTAAGAGACATCAGTCATCTGTAAGAGCTTTAACCAAAGAGAACACACAGGCTTGGGTCAAGCATGACACCATTTGTAATTCACCAAATCAATAACAAGAAAGGTGTTGGTTATCTTGCTGAAAAATATATCTCTTTATCTTCTCTCATATCAGTCTTCTCTGTCCCTGGGTTATTCCTAATCATTAGGCCATATGCCACACTGTCTGATGTAGGAGACAATTTAAGGCAGAGACTATAATCCTCCGGTGTCTCTCAGTGAGTCATGATGGTAAGTGGTAAGCACGTGGATAGATGACAATACATGCATAGAGAGCTCTCTAGGAGTGTCTGTAAATGTGTTGGACTATAATGAAAATGAAGATCACTCTTCTCACTCGTGATTGATCCCCCTTTCGTGTACCTGATGAGGGTGATAATTTTCTTTGTGTTTTCTGTAGACGAAAATAATCTGATCTTTGATAACATCAGGATGAGGTTTTTCTTTGTAGTATACAACCTTCACACTGTGTTTGTTTTTAACAGAATTTTACTCACCTTCTCTTTTGATATGAGCAACACGGCAGGGGACCACATCAAAGCTGATTGTAAATGTGGAAGCGGAATTGTAATCACACACATATCAAAGCCTCAAACTGATATTGGAATTGAAAGTGAAACCCTGAATTTCATGGTGCGGCCAAAAAGTGAGCCTTTGATGGCATGGAGTTATTTAATTGCAGTTGTGTGTGAAACTAACTGTGTTTGCATAGGGATGGCACATTATTAGCAAAGGTTGGAACAAATCTGAAACTTTCAGCACGACAATCCAAACCATACTTGATTATATATCTTTTGCAAATGAGCTTTCTTTTATTCAAATTGTTTCCTACAAACACACACATGCACACGCATACATCATCAGAAAACAATAATGCTCATTTTCTGTGCTTTCTGTCAGTTTTTCTGTCTACAAACAAGACTGAGCAAAAAAAACTGATTTTCATAAAATAAATATATAAGATGTATGAAAACCAAGCTGTTTAACATATTCTGAATGTTATTATACAAACATTATCAAAACATCCTATTACATTTAATCCATTTACCCCAAATAATGGTTATTATTACATGTTGAATTTCATGGAAAATGTATTCAGGCATTTTCTTTTCAGATATTTATATTCAGAGGCTCCAGTATTTTACCAGTGCTCATTGGTAATCAGCAGCCACAAACTCAAATCGAATTAAATCTCCAATGGAGGCTCTGAAAGTGACAGCAACAACTTACGACAGCAACAGTTCACGGACAAAAACAGAAAGATTAATCAATTTGACCTGTCTGCAAGACAGCTGGCAGTTCACACTCTGAGTGGGGCTGATGTCCATCATCCGGTCAAAAATAGTAAACTGGCCTAATTATCACTGAAAGTCATGCTTGACAGAAACAAATATAGTCCACCAGAGCCTGCGGGATACTATGTAAATCCACCTCTTTGTGCCGTTGCACCGTGCAACCTTGGGGGTAATGGAAGTTACGGGACTTGTTCTGAATGAGTTGTTGCTCTGAGCACGCGTTAGTGGCAGTGGAAAGGGATTCCTCTGATAACATTCCCGCCGATGTCTTCTTGAGAAAGATTTTCTCGGATTTTAGTATAGGCTGTTTTTCTGAGTCATTCCAGCATGTGTTCAGAGTGAGCTGTCCCTTGTGGACCTCTCAGCTCTCTTGCAGATATCAAGTGGACTGAACTGAGATGAGAGCAGCTGGACAAATGCAAATATTAATCCAATTTTTTCTTTTGGGGTAGAGGTATGAATATTTTCACTTGGTTGATATTATTTTGGAGATATAATTATAATTTCATTACAAAAATCTTAAAATAACTTTATTTAACTTTAATAACTTTATTCAACAAAAAAAATCTTGTTTCCACTCAAATCTGTTGAAAGAAAATTCTCTTTAATGTCAAGTGTTAAGGAGATTGGATTTGTCTCTTCTCTACTTAACCCCAAACAGATCTTTCTTTTCTGCTTGAATAAACACTTTTAGTTTTTCTTGAGCTGTGTGCAGAAATATGGCTTCTGGAATCAGTGTCACTTACAAAGTGTGACTGAACTTGCTAATGTTTTGGCATCAGCCCTAATGAATGCGTGATCACAGAGGATGGACTGGGTATACAAGATGACCTTTGTTATTAGATGGTAAATGTACACTGACTGACACAATTTTTCCTTTTCACCAAATATCAGTAGATAGGGGAGGACAACTAATTTGAGGTTGTGAAAACACATTTGATTGCCTTGTTTGTTGTTGCACACATCTTACCTATGCTGCATTTGTCAAATGATCTCTTTCATTAACAGAAAATGAACCTACGTCCACATTCATAATGCTAACATCTTATTTATTCCACATAGCAGTTATCTAAGAAAATGTGTCGCACAGACCCCCAGTGTATTGAGTGGAAAATGCTCATTATCCAAAGGTTTCATTTATGTCTCTCAAATCAGAGTGCATGATTGCTCGTAAAATCCTCTAATCTGACCTATGTACGGTAAGAATTTTTTTGATAAGCATTAGGAGTTCTACGGAATAAACACCTATTTTAAAGCATGACAACTTGTGCTGTTACTGTGTTATATCACAGTTTTCACCACCATTTCTTCTTTGTGCAACACACTTGCTTTGGAAATTTTTCAGTTGGTATTTTGGGACATAAAAGTCTTTTGTCTGTACCTGCTGAAGTAATCTTATGTAAATTTGACTTGCGTGTGTTCTCGGCATCAGCCAAAGATAAGATGGGTTTCCTGAGACTTTCACTGCACTAAGCATGTGTGGTTGCGACAATCAGATTTGGAGATGTGAAAAGAATCCAAATGCTTTTGTTGGGCTATAATAAAACGTCTGAACAGATGCATTTTTCTCCGTCAACGGCAGTTATATTCGAAACACCTTTTAATGCAATCATGTCTTTTATTTTTGTTGGGTAGATGAAATGTGATCTTTGTTATCCGAAGCAAAGATCAGTGGCTTTATGTGATGTTCTGCATATACAATGGCTGGCAATTTTCATTAAAATGAGTTTGTAAAGGTGGAGAAAAGCTTCCATACTGACAACAAATGTTTGCAAAATTTTAAGATATGTTGCCTTCATATGTTGGTATTGAAATTCACAAAGTAATATACCTCCACTGACTAAATACCAGAGCAGCCTGCGGCACAACACAAGCACAGCCAACTCTGAATGGATTTCCTTTTGAGGTCTCATTAACACGTCTTTTCCTGCCAGCTGGCTTGCTGAACAAGCAGTAAGACAATTGTTAACAAAGGAGAGGTGCACTCTAATGCCAGTTTGCACTCTACGTATGTTCAATCCTTTTATTTTAGGTGCTGAGATCCTAAAATGCTCTCAGATAAACATCAACAGTGACGTCCCGCAAAGCAGCAGAGCATTTTCCCATGTCTTACAGAGATCAGTCTGTTAGTAATGAAAGCAATAACATAAATTCTTAAAACACATTACATTATTTTGGCCGTAAAGTCACTACAAAATATCACTTAAGTTTTATTAAACCATCAAAGAGGCCCTAACACTTAGCATTTCTAGACTGTTACATTTTATAGCTCAAATATATCTAAAACGATGCAATATTTCTCTTCCGAAGCTTGTATTTATCAAACATTTGAAATGCAGCATTCATAAATGTGTTATGCTAATAGACTGGTCTCACTGAGCTCACAAAAGCTGAAAGGAACCCCCAGTGTACGGAACCACAGGGCTTCCTGTAATAATGCAGTGCTGCCAGTCCTAGATCATAAACAACAACAAAAACCTGATGAAAAAGAAGGAAACAAACATAAAAAATGAAGATGTTGAAAAAATACGGTTGTCTTGACATACTGCAAAAAACAAATATCAAGCTTAAAAGATTGTAGAATTTGAGAGGAGAAAAGGCAATCAGTGTTGAGTCAGATCAGTCTGCAATCACTGCAGTGCTAACGACACCAGCCACAAAATACAGCTCTAAAAGGATGGAGCTTAATTTCATGAAGACACAGCCTGGGGCAAAGATTAATCAGCTACAGTCAGCAAGAGCTGCTCCTTGACACACATCTTCTTTACCCTTTACACAGCTGCGAGAAGAGGCAGGTAGGACTTAGTGTCAGCTGAAATCGGTGCAATCAGACCTGTCAAAGCCTCCCTGTTGAAGTTAATGTCATTATAGGGTTTGACCAATCCAAGAGAGGATCTGTGGTATGAATATAAATAGGTGATGATCATGTCACTGGATGTTGAACATCTGCAGCTGACAGGTACCAATGCTAGAAGATCATTAATTTGGCGTCACCAGTGTGTTTTTCCTCCGGCGCAGCAGGATTTTTAGCTTAAAATGTTTTCACGTTCCAACTGACTAATATCAACGATGGTTGTTGAAAAAATGCACTCTGATCATCTGTCTGTGAACAAATTGGCATCAAAAAGTGGGTCAAGTAACAACACAGTGACCCTGAGCGCAACGTAATAATGTTTGAAGATGTTTTTGAGATGGGCTAAAAAAAGAAGTCCTGACCTTAAGCCCACAGAAATGTTGTGGAGGGAGCTGAAGTGAGCCTTTCATGTGGGAACCCACCCGCATCCAGAACTGAAACCGTTCTGAACAGATATTGTGCTGTTATTTAGTACGAATGGGTCACGCCATATACTTGTTGCTTGTGAGTCTTTACCACTCATAGATGTGTAATATGTTTTATTTTCACTTGATTAAAAGACAAAGGATTCTATATCTCATTAATGTAATAAGATTCTCTATGTTTACTTTTACATGACGTTTGGCAAAATGAAAGTTTTGAATAATTTTCATGTAGAAATCTAAGACATCCTACAGGGTTTAAAACCATGTCCTGTTGCACTATTTGTACAAAATCTTTGTTTATTATATAATATAAATGGCATAGGTTTATCATGTGCTTTTTTGCTATTAAATTGAATCACTCTTATTTCTTAATTTCTGCATTTTGGTCTTTATTTCCTCTCTTTATGGTTCTAGATGAAGAAACAAAATCAACAGTTGGCATTGCCTTCTGTTGCAGTGAGGGTCATATTTCTGTTAATGAGCTTCCTTGCACACAGAGCTTGTTTTGTTGACTATTGCTGTATACCGCAGTTTGCTCATGTTTTGTTTCCTTAGGTTGTGGGAGAGTGGCGCTTTAGCAAGATCCACTGTGACATCTTTGTCACTCTTGATGTGATGATGTGTACAGCCAGCATCCTCAATCTTTGCGCCATCAGCATTGATCGGTGAGTTTGCCATCGCCCAGATTGTTTAGTCTGGTAAATCACGGTTTCAGCATGAAAATCAATGGAAATCTTGGGCTATTGAATAACAAAAGAGAATTAGTATCTTTCCAGTGCATGACCATCAAAGCCCACCTGTCTATTTACAGACTAAATGGCTTTGTCAGACATGGATTTCATGCCGCCTGCAACCTGAGCATGGAACACATGTCCAAATTAGTGGCTACCAGATGTTACTGGTTTATAAAATGACAGCTCCATAAAATAGTCAGAAGCCGAATAGTGTAAACAAGTCAATGAATACTTGTAAGACAGGTACAAAGAAGATAAAGAAGATACATTTAAGGAGGATGTCATCCAACAATTGTAGAGGCAGTTAAAGTTCAGTTACCGTACAAACAATCGTCCCATTTAAAATATGTTTTTAGCCTTTTGCCGTGAAAACCTATCACAATCAGAAGTAGATAACAGGAGCCCTTCAACATTTACACATTCGGGAGTTAGAAAATAAGCGTGAGCTAAAAAGGAAATGTCAGAAGAAAGCAGACCACTTGTGATGAATAGAACGCAGTTGAATTTTACACGCTTAAAAAGATCGAAAGACAACAAGACAGAGCTACAAGAAACGGCAGCAACAGAGTGGAGGAAATGAGCTAAATTATACCTCATAGTGTCATATTGAAGTGTTTTGAGTTAAGAATATACACTGTTGACATGCTTTTTCCTTTTCTCTTGGAAAGAAGTTAAAACCTACCCAGGGGAAATGTTTGAGATTAAAAGCCAGAGCGTTCGTATTGTGGCCTCCCACATAAGTTAATGCAACCAGAAAACTTTCTTCGACGAGCACAGTGGTTTATGTTCTTAAAGTGCTGGTGTAGTAAACTGGAAACACGGTGGAGAAATGTTGTCAGCTGCACATATTTTATATTGTCAAAGAAATTTGATGTAAAAAATTGAATTGGCAGACATTATTTTTGTTTTAACAATTTCTTGAAGAGATTGCTTCATTTAAGGGATACATGACTGTGGAACATTTGCATCCATCAGCATCATATCATGCACCATGCTTTTTTCCTAAATGTAAGTAGAATGCTGATTAACCAAAACCAGACCAATTAGTTCTGAGCAAATTAGGCTTTATTTATTACAGATAATTCTGTTTTGCAACTTATAAATATTTGGAACACAGATTGTTCTTTTGATGCTTGACATGTAGCATAATATAGATTTCAGAGTGCTGGCCTTGAAAAAGGATTCCTGCTGCCATTGTCATGTGATAATTCTATATTGGCAAGCCCTTCAACACAGGCATTCTTTATAATTGAAAAAACTGATCAATACAAACAGCCTTAAAATCAATGCAGAAAAATTCAACTGTGCAATCTTTAAAAAGATATTTGCAAGAAGAGCATCTTATATCTGGTTGTGTGTACACGATCAATCGAGCTCATTCGTTCGTCCCAAAAAGATTGCACTTACTCATCAGTGAAATCAAATTGAGTCAGTGGGCAATTAACATCATCTACTGTAAGAAACAGTTACAGCACAGAGATTTTAATCTGAAGAGCATGTAGAATCATTCATATTAAACATGTAGAATGTAACACTAACTTCTCAAATATGGATAAATAAACCAAGAAAATTACATTTCTTGTATTTACAACTTGTTTAGTTTGGCATGATTTTCAGCTTGACTGCATTTTCATTCTAAATCTATATGCAAAATAAATGTCCAGCATGGTCACACATGGATAAAGGAACTGAATTTGAATACAGATGATTCTTACATTCCTGAAAAATCTTGTCAATGTTCGTAATTGAATAGCAAGTTACTGTTTGTGTGCATCACCAAAGAATGTTACAAGCAATCTAGAGAGGAATGACATTATCATTTACATTTAGATGTTTTTCATCTGACTTGTGCCAGCTTGCTGCATACTTGTGAATCCCAATCACAGGGAGGATGAGTATGGCAAACGCTTTGAAACGCTTTCAACAAGACTTATGACATTTCACTGTCCACCCATATGAGGCTGATATGCTCTACACTGTCTCAAAGAGATGTGCTCCCTTTTTTCAGTCCAAAAGGCCTACACCAAAACTGCCTTCTATAGGATGAAACGTAGACATCTCATCTGTCATTTGAGAAAAGCTTTTTCCAAAATATTGAAGGAAATAAAGTTGCATTTTTCCATTAAAGATCAATCTGAAATGTAATCATGTTAAATATGATTGCTTTCTAGATGGTGATGACTAGATATTATAAACATTAATCATGTTATTCCAGAATTTCATTACCATAACTGAACTTCACTTCGGTCTTTAACAATTATATAGTGATCATAAAAAGAGATCATTTACAGCCAAAAAAGGAAAAATGGTCCATATAAAGCCTTCATATACCATCCTTAAAACTACATATATGCAGGCTAACGCATATGACAGCAGCAGATAATCGGCTTGCTTTTGAAGCATTTTTGGCTTCAAGCATCCAAATGAATCAAAGCAATCACCAGTTTTTTAAATGTGGTTATGGTGTATAACTGCTTCTATTTCTTTCGTGTTCCATATTTGCAGCAGATGTTAACACAAGCTTATTTGCATCTGACAAATGCTCACTAAGAAAATTTAGCAGGAACTCTTGCTTAATTTACTTAATTTACTATCCTGCTGCTTTGTTTGGTTGGTAAGGTAAGGTAAGCACTATTTTACCATTGCAGTATAATTGCACCAAGTGTTTTTATGTGGATTAAATCATCAAATTAGCTCAATCCCCAACAACTGGCAAATGCCGTCAGATTTTAAATGGCCTACCTTTTTGTGCCCTTCCTACTGTGTGATAACTATAAATAATTATATCTTCTCATAAGCACAAAAGTCTTGTGCATTCAATCTTGAGCAAGCGTGTTTTCCAGTTGCCATGGAAATGTAAGACACATTTAATATCAACATATGGTAACATTTCCTAACAACAGTTTCATCTCATTTTCTTTTTTTTCTTCCAAAGAAAGACACCAAATCCAAATATAAGCCAAGCCCACATGACTTTATGTTTAAGGTCTTTTGAGCTTGATAAGACAGAGATCAATTAACAGCTTACTTTAAAAAGCTATAAATTCTGTGATATTCATGTATATACTGCAAGCTCACTGATAAGGTCAGAGGATGTAGCAAGATTAAATGAGAAGGTACAGTATGTCATGAAGGACGACGAGGAATGGGGTAGCCTCCCTTACAGCCTGTCATTAAGATGTGTACCATAGCCCACAACACCTAACTGTTTCTAAAGGGCCAGTCCAGCACGAAATAGATCAGATCACAAATGACAGGCAACATTTCTGGTTTAACCCACCTGTAGGCTTCATATTCCCAACTGTGCTTTAGGCTACCACACTGCATTGATTGAAAAAGGGAACAGACAGGTGTACACTTAGGCTTAGATCATTCATCAAAAAGATGATGAATACCACAGGACAGAGGTAAATCCATCAATTTTAACTTGTATGTTCTATCTGTGGCACTTGTGTTTTCTTCCCCCCTCTAACAGATACACAGCAGTTGCAATGCCAATGCTGTACAACACGCGCTACAGTTCCAGGAGGCGGGTCACAGTAATGATCTCTGTGGTGTGGGTTCTGTCGTTTGCCATATCATGTCCTCTGTTGTTTGGCCTAAATAACACAGGTAAGAGAGTTTCAAACCGGAAATATCCATGCTGCTGTAAAATGTGCAACTGTAATTGTAGGGCAACAGCAGTGCTGTTGTGTTGTTTGTTGTTTTCGTAAAGGCAATAGCCCAGGTAAAACTAAAAAACATGTAGGCTATAGCATGCACATTCAGAACAAATATTTACAAGTTTTGAACAGATTTTACCTTAATAAGTGAGTACTTATCAGTGCCAAGAAACTGGCACTTCATGCATGCTTGAACCTGCTTTGTCCATCAGCCCCAGGCCTTCAGGTTGCTTACACCACTGAGCAATAGCCTAAGTGGAGGATTACTGTTGAAGCAGTTCTGATTAGGGGCTTTTTGGAAGGTGCCAACGTGTTCCTTATCAGCTCCTGTGGCTCTCATTCTGTCACTTTGAATCTCCCCTCATCCCTTCTGGAGCTTTGATGTAACGTTGATTCAGTCAGGACTCAGACCTTTAAACACTGACTGAAGATGTTCCCAGAGTAGGATACAAAAAACATGAAAGAAACAGTCAAGGAAGCAGCATACTTTGACTCTGTTGCAACGGAAGCAAGACATATAAGATAAATGCCAGATAAATGTCTTTAATAAAAAGCACAATTAAAATTTTAGTGCACTGCAGAGTGAATGTAAATGTGAATATTACTGGTCGTCTGGGTTTTTTCAATGGTAGGAGACAAGAAAACATTTTTTTTTAACAAAGAGTTATACAAGCTTTGTTAACTAATGTCCTTGAAATGTGTCAGTTTTAAAGGCAAAAAATAGAATACAAAACAGAATAAGCCACCACTTTTTTTGCATGGTTACTTTACAATTAGTTATAGCTTTATGACTTTATCCTGCAAGATCTTTTTATTTAGTAGTCAAGGAAAAATTCCATGTCTATAAGTCAACTCTGTGCTAAATAACTTAGAGGCTCAGTACCTTTTTTACCCCCTGAAGTTGAAGTCTTTATTACACGAGGGGAAATGGTGACACACTTAGCAGAATCAATTTGATTGACAGGATACAAGAAGAGCATCTTGAAGAACAATTCATTCTCAAACCTGAACCCTAACCCTAAACCCAAGGAATTAACATTTAATCAATTAACAATTTAAATCAAACAAACTAATTTGGGATTATTTTGCTTGTGTTTTCTTTAGAGCTGTTTGTGCACAACTATAGATAAGCTGGTGTGTGTTGCCTGTCTTCACCCCACTGAAGACAATTTGGCTTGCTGACAGCACAGCAATGGGACGTTGCCCCTATCGTTGTGTACTTGTTTTTCTTTTGACAAACAAGCATATTTATAATATTCTGAATTATGAATGACTAAATTCCAAACAAATAGTAGAATATCCAGGTCCAGCAGAAGTGTGCAGAGTCTGAATTACTTGATATCATCACCATGCTTGGTGGAAGAATCCGAATGGTTTAAATCTCAGTAGATGTTATGACAGTTCTTAGACAGCTTTCATATGGGATCTCAACAGAAAGTAGATGTGGAAAAATGTTCTGAATGACCTTTAATTAAAACTAATGTAAAATAAGTTTAGAATTGTCAATGCGTTTCAGGTTATCAATATAGAAACTACATTATTAAAGAAAAACAAAGGCTTTTCTTTAGGTTGTGGCAGTTTGTGGTGTCAAAGGTTTTCATGCACCCGGTTATCTCCACTTATCTCCACAGCAACTCGTGATGAGTCTCTCTGTGTGATTGCCAACCCAGCATTTGTGGTATACTCCTCCATCGTGTCCTTCTATGTACCCTTCATCATTACTCTGCTGGTTTATGTGCAAATCTATGTGGTCTTGAGGAAGCGCAGAAAACGTGTCAACACCAAACCAAAGCAGCGCATTGGTCAGTCTGTGGGCCAAGACGAAGCCACATCACTTAAGGTGAGCAAATGGAACAACATGGCTTCTGCTCACAGCCGGCAGTTTTATGCCGACGCAAGCCCGGGAATTATTCACTCTTCTATTGTCTTTCTGCACCTCTTTAATTGTATTCTTTTACTAGTTACTAGTTGTAAAATTAGAGGTCCAAATATAGAGATTATATAACAGTAGATGAAGACAGAACGCCAGAAAGGGAGAAGGTGGTCGGGAAGTGGATTTCATTGTCTTTAAAAAACACGGGCAAAAAACAGTTTTAAAGTTAAATGGCCTCAGCTGCAATATTTCTGTGGCTTCAGTGATCTCATACAACATTCATTATGATAGCCCTAAAACTGCCTTTAGTTCATAATGTAGAAGTCCTGCTGTACCGAATTTCATTAGTAGAAATTGCTTTTATCAGATGAGCTTGTTTCACGTTGGTGAAAAGGTTCGGTCGACTATTAAATCCCCAGATAAAGTGAACTCGGTTTTAAGTGAAACTTAAATTCAGACTGTTGCAAAATAACCTGTGTTCCTGAGCCCTGTGCCATCTCATCTGACCTTATGGGCTGTGGGACCTGTGCTCCTGTGCTTAGACAGTCCCTTTGTCAGTTGATTTGACATTGTGTCCTCTCCTTGCTTGACACAGCTGTTTCCATTTCAGGATAAGTGCACTCATCCAGAGGATGTGAGGTTGTGCACCATGATTGTTAAATCTAATGGGAGTTTTCCTGTCAACAAGAAGAAAGTGGTTTGTGCTATTCATTCGGAGTCTTTTCTTCAATCCGTTTTGTTTCCTTTATTAAAGATTTCTTTCCGTTCTGATAATCTGTTTATCTTTTGTGTCTCTTATTTTAAATGTCACCATCCATACCCCCGTTTTCGCTGCTGACTTGACCTTGGTCAGATTTTCATCAAAGAAGCGACCAATGAGGGGGAAGATCTGGAGCTGGATGAGCTGAACAACAGTGGCAGCAGCCAGAAGCAGAAGCAGCAGACACAGGGTGTTCTCGGAGACACTCCGGCCACAAGCCACCAGCAACTCATGCCTAACAAGGCCAACGCTAGCCCCACTTCCACACCTCCGACACCTCCCGAGGACGATCAGAAGGCAGAGAAAAATGGAGATCCCAAGGAAGTCCTGGCTGACCGAGCACCCATTGTAGCAAAAGCCTTCCAGACACAGGCCTTACCTAATGGAAAGACTCAGACCTCAGTAAAAACTATGAGCAAGAGGAAGATCTCCCAGCAGAAAGAGAAGAAAGCAACTCAGATGCTGGCAATTGTCCTTGGTGTGTTTATAATGATTGTGTATTATTAATTGTTTTGGTTTTTTTATATCCAATTATATGTCAATTATTAATAGTTTATTAATATTAACACAATCTCAGCTGCTTTATTTGAATATGCACATTGAAGTAGCATTGACAGTCTCTGGAGCCAAATTACTACAGTATGATCCTTTTTTGCCTTTGAGCATACACAACATCATGTAGTGATCGCAGCATCACACCAGAAGGGAACTGCGCTCAAAGACCAATTATTTATTTCTCTTTTAATTAACCACAAGGCATGTGTCGTGTTTTATTTTTCTTTCAACGCTTGTCCTTCCTTTTTTTACATTTTGGATAAGCTCTCATAATGTAATTGGATGTCTGCGCAAAATGATTTTTTTATTTTCTTTAATCTCCATCCTAACAATTTCGGAAGCCTCTAAAAACTAACGTGATGCAGTGATGCAAGAAACAGAAAGATTGAGGACAGCTCATTCATTTGCCACACACAATGGAGACTCACACACAGCAAGTTATTTCTTGTCCTTCCTGTTCCTTTCACTAATGTGCAGTGGTTTTTCTTTGTCTCTCCTCAGGTGTATTCATCATTTGCTGGCTGCCATTCTTCATCACACATATTTTGAACACCCACTGCACCAAATGCAAGGTACCTGCCGAGATGTATAATGCGTTCACATGGCTGGGCTATGTGAATAGTGCTGTAAATCCCATCATATACACCACCTTCAACGTGGAGTTCAGGAAGGCTTTCATCAAGATCTTGCACTGCTAAGATCCATCAACCCTTACTGATCGGACTGAAGGAGAAGTGATGAAAGGGTTAGGCCATCTCCTCTGGCAAATACCTCATCCTGTTAAGGAAAATGCATCACATGGAGCAACTGCAATCTGTTTTTTGAAGTAATGGAGTTAAGTGACTTAAAGGATTGGCAAAATTGGCCTTTTTGAAAGGCGCGTTGGCTCTGTATGTGACTTGTTAGTGGAAACCTGTTCTCCAAAATCACTGAATGTAAAACAAGAAAAGTCTGTAACAATGACCTTATTGTGGAGAGAGAAAAAAACATTGTTCTCTGAAATCATTGTGCTTGTTATGTAAGAAGCCATCTGTGTATACCACACACATGCAAGTTACAAACTGCTATTTATTGTGTGTGTGCTTTACGTTTTAATGATGGAAACTTCCTGCAAATCTTAAAGGTATCACGTCAGTGTTTATTGCAGTGTTAAAACTGATGCGTCGCGTCAGCTCTTACTCTTATAATCTATCACGGATAGGAATGTTTGTCAAAGAGAAGATTTGCTTGCTGTAGAATGTGGCAATGCCAATATCTGCATTTTTGCAGTTTTATAAATGAATTAATCTATTATAGATATGGTCTTTATTTGCTTTACTGTACATAGTTTTCTTAATACATTAACTGTGATTATATGCCTGCAATGGAATTGTGATGCATGCTACATTGCTCCTCTACTTGACTTTTCATGAAATGTATGTCAATAAAAAGATGATGAAAGATCTCCAATAAATAAAATTAAATACATTTAGTGCCACTTAAATGTCATTATTCACTTTGTGCATTTAATCGCAAACACGCGCTCTTAAGTTAACGTTTTGTTGCTATGGAGCTGTGAAGTGGGACACTTGTTAAATTTGCAGCTCACAGTCATTCGGATGTGCTCCAGACACACTTGATGAGGTGCACGACCACGCACGCGCACACTCAGCCCCAGAGTCAATTGAGAATCACCAATTAACCCCACATTCATGTCTTTAAGTGGTCGGAAGGTGCCAGAGAGAACCGACATCCATAAGCAGGGGGGGAAAAAAACTACCTCCACTGAGAAAGGTTTGAGCTGCGATTCAAACCAGGAACATTCTGACTGTGGTATGACGGTGCTCTTCAACACACCACCGAGCAGCCCAAATCATGTAGTTGTGTCGTAAATTCGGTAGTTGCACGGCTTGATGAAACAAGCTGTGTCTAAGTTTAGTGATACATCACCTCCCAGACAGAGCAGTGTGAATGGGCTGCTGCAGCTGTTGTTTCATTCCTATCATTCTGTATCCTTTCGAAATTGCTTCGGAGCTCTTCACTAGATTGGAGATGTGTGAATAAAACTCAACGTTTATTTTTGTTTGACTCCCTCAAAATTGAGGGAAAAAAAACATTCAGCCAGTTACACTTAAACTCAGAGGAAAGGAAAAATTTTCTTTTCTCCTTGAAAATAAGCCCACTGTTTTTTATATTAAACATTTCAGTGTCCTGCTGTACAAAATAATAGAATAAAAAGGATTATTTCTGTGCCGATGATGACAGTGTAGTCACAATAAGTCTCTGCAGAATTATCTCAAAAAAGCACAAGCGAGCACAGTCAATTCTTTTCTCTGTGGCTCCTCTCAGTGAGGATGCATCACCACTGTTGCCAATACAGATTTAAGTAGTGCACATGGACAGACATACATATGAATCTGTTTTCATGCTGAGGAGGCACACATGGCCACCAGAAGCCTTGAAAATGTCAAGAAACTTCAAGAGTTTCACAACCCAACAAGTATAAGACTGCATTTTTTTTTCTATACACAGGATAAAGAAGAGATACACTTCAATAATCTGTCTGAATTATTTGTATTATTGCATTGCATTGTTTTGTATAAGTAAAATGTTTAGTTTTTATTGAAAAGTATTTTGCAATTAGGCTTGTTTTTCTGAATTTGAAGAATCTCCACATTGTAGTTTATTTTAAACAAATCCTTGTCTGCTATAACCTGCATTGCACATTTCACAGAGGCATAATAAGGAAATTAGCTGATAAGCCTCTTAAAGGCTGAACGGATTTTGATGTGAAATTTTAAAATAAGACTGAATATTTCTAAATTAGACACAAATTATAAACAAGCCTGAGGTGGCAAAGTAAAGCTTATTTTTATGATAATGATGATAACAGTAGCACAAAAGTGTATTCTTCAAACTCTCGTGAAAAAATTATGTTCCTTTTGAAAGACTGAGAGCAGTAAAGCAAATGTGGGGAGTACATAATACGCCATAAGCTGGATTCGTATGAATATCCAATTTTGCAGAAACAGCGACTGGAGTTAAACTTGAATAATGTTAATTTTAGTTGTTTTATGAAAGGAATTAACTCCATCTTTGATCCAGCACTTGACAGAATGCTACCCTAACCCTACAATATCTGAAGCCAACACAATATGATTAAGATATCCAGTGCCTCTAAAACATGTGAAGAGCAGTTCTAAAAGATTTAAATGCAGTCTAGACCAGGATTCAAAACATGTGAACTGTAATTTACTGTAGATGCCCAGTTTTCTCACACAACCTAAAGATATTTGAAGCACAGTTGAATATGATGCAAAAATTCGTAATCAAATCTAATAATAAGAGAAACATGATGATCAGCATAAACCCACATGCCAACACCTTTACCGACAGAGCCAAGCAAACCAGGGGGGCCGGGTTATCTGATGCAAATCTAATTAGTAACTTGTGATAAAAATGTTTCCAGATGTTCTCACTGTAAAAAAAACTCTTTAAATTCACACAAAACATTAAATTAAGAAAAAGAATACTATGACAGGTTTATAAAAACTCCTCCTCAAACACTAACAAATGAAACAGACTCACTGAAATAGGTATTCTGGGTTTGGGTTTTTCACATCCCTCAAGACTGCGCTGCAAGCATTAACCTCTGCAACATTTTCCCATCAATTTGACAAACTCAGCATGGTGACATACTTAGCTGAAGCTCAGTGTTTGAACTAGCCCTTGTCCACTGTTTGACAGAGTAAGTGTACACATTAACTAAACGCATATTGACAACAATATGTCCAACCTCTGTGGACTGTGTGAGCACATTATCAGGGACATTCTGCCCCATCCCATTTTCTCAGTAGGAGATCATTGTCCATTAAAGTTTAGCTGAATTTATTGCACTGCAGCTGCCTTTGAGTTACTTGAATGGCCATTTTGTCTAATGACCCTGCACTTCTAAAATCTCATTAGTCTGGAAATACTTTAAGAGATTATAAATTGATAGATTTTCTCAATGTGCTGATTTTTAACCACAATTTCTGATGGGTTTGGCCATACATAAAAAACGGAATAATAAAAAGAGAGCAGTTGTAATGGAAATTGTTATTAACTTTCCATAAAGCTACAAAAAGATGTAACTTTAAAGCTTGGTTGGGAGTTTCTTTTCGGCCCATTTAATCTCGCTAAAAGGACCATATCAGGATATTTCTTTAACGATGACCACACCATCTGCATGTACTTTTTAACAATTTCGGTCTCACATATTTGCATACAATCCACATTTCAGGCCATGTCACATCACACAAATTTGCTCACTGATGAGCTCAATTGTAAATTTAATTTAAAAAACCTTACTTGTTCTATGCACATACACTTAGTAAGTAGAATTAATGGGCTGGCTGGATATTACTCCTTCTTGGATAAGAAAGGGATGACAAGATACCTTTTGTTGAGGTTGTGAAATAAAATCTAAAAATCCCAAGAATGACTGACACCCCGGATAGTTTCCTTCAAACTGAACATCATTTGTGTTGACCAATGTGATCAAAGGCAGGCAGAATTGCATCACATTCAGGAGAAAAACAATCTTCACCGACATGAAAGGCAAAAGCTGAAAACAAAGGCATGATACTGCAGTTCTTTTCCTGCTGCAAGCAATCCTCAACTTGTTGAAAAAAGGCAACTGAATAAAAACCTCTTGTTTTTCAGGGCATTTTATCACTTGCACTGCTGCATTTAGGACTGAGTATATAAACAGACATGTTAGACACATTTCCTTTTCAAAATCTGATGCCAGCAGACATCGATACATTCAAATTACCCAGGTTATTGAAAAGAAAATCAGACTATATCCTTTTTATTTTCATCAAGGCTAAGTTGGCTTTATTTTTCTGCTTAATAGGATCAGTCATGAGCTTATGATAGAGTCATTCCATACAGTCATTAATTTGCACTAGTTTACAGTAAATACTATAAATCATATTCACTCATCAGATGAGTCATCAAATAGCTACATACCCAGAAGTACTTATTTTTCCAAAAGTGTGAGAGGAACTAATCGTCGTTCTCTTGGCAAAATTTTTTAAAAAGATTAAAAATAATAACGTTCACCCAACCAAACTTATATTGTTTCTATGCATACCACACCAGATGGTGACACTATAATATTGGTTATCAGAGTTTTGCCCATTTCCATTTCCATTTCTGATTGCAAAGTCTCTTATCTCTTTCAATTTCCTTGTGACTTCATTGTACGACAACATACCAAGTAAAAAAGGCATTTTGTCAGTTTTACTGAAACCCTTCAGGCAATGGCTTACTGATGTGATGTTCTCAGTGACGGGTCTTAAAAGATTTGCTATCTCAAAAGACATTCGGAATTTTCCTCCTAGTAGATACTCTCGTGAGTCCAGGAGACAACATTTACACTAAGTTTGGGGGTATTTAATGTAAAAAAGAATTGGAAATGTTTGACAGGCATAAATCCCTGTATATTTTGGATCTCCATTATCTTTATATAGTTAACAGTTTTACCAAAGAAATCATGTGATGAATTTCCCATACTGAAGCCTTAAAAATATGTTTGAGACGTTATACATTCTGACTGCTTCAGTTTTTCTTTTAGCTGCTGAACAATTTCAATGGATACATATACATGTATTCTATCTACCTTTAAGAATGATCATTTAAAGTGTTTTTTCTGTTGCTGTGATTGCTTGTCTACACAACACATATACTCCATGCATTCTGGTGTATCCTTCAGAAATTAAATCTTGACTTTTTTAAATTCTTTTTGGGATTGTGGATCCTCATTTTTTGCAACACGGTTTTAAATGCATCTTTTTTTAATTCTTAATCAGGCATACATAATGCATCATGGCATGTACAAAGATTTACGGAAGATTTAACATAATTTTTCTCCATGAATAATTACATGGAACCAACATCCTTGAGATTTACAGCCAGACTGTCCATCAGAAAATAAATAAGTAGAAAGGTAAGGCAATATTTCGTGAATGAGTATACAAGGTTACAAGCTTAATGGGTCATTCATTATTCCTTTTTTTATCTCGATCTATAGACAGCACAATCCCTCGGTTTTCTATGTATCCAAAAGGTACCTCCATGGTTTGGATTACATTTCTAATTATATCAGTGAAATGTTTGAATACTGGCTTGCTTGTTTGCAGTGTCAATTCTTCCATGTTGCTTGGGCTCTAATTAAGGTATGAGTGATATATTCCAGATTCCTTGGTTCTGCCATAACATATATCAGAGGACATCAGAACGCCCTGTCTAGTCTGTGTCTATTTCATATGTATCTAAATATTGCCCCTGAAATAATATATGGCTAAGCAGTGGCTATCTCCCGAGAGTTATGATGTTGTACACCACATAACTGGTTTTCCCTTGAGGAATTTCAAAGTCAGTGTCCAAATCAAACCAGAAAACCTTGATAGTCAGATATGCCAACAGTCAGGA